TGGGAAGATCACCTGTCTAGATTTGCTAGGAAGCAGGATTTCCTGCTTTCTAGCGAATATAAATCATGCGGCACAGCTGATTGTCGGACATACCGGTTCGGATGAATCGGTAGGGTTTTTTTTTTACTATCAGTTCACCTGAACTGGTAGCTTTTTTAAACTACCAGTTCGCCCGAACCGGCTTTTATCACTACCGGTTTGCCCGAACCGGTGTGAACCGGTACCATTTCACCCCTGCTCTAAGGTGAAGAAGAAATGCTTCCTCTGAGAATGTTGGAGCTGTGAGCTGTTGCTATGAAGACCATCTTCGCATTACAAAGACAGGATTGAGAGGTTTTGATCCATCCTGCAGGTGGTTGGATCCTGAAGAAGTCTACACCGAACATTCTCCAAAGCACATGAATGGAGAAGAAGAAGAAATGGATAGAAACTAATCAATGAGAGAAGAACTTAGAATGAAGGAGAAATATCTTTAATTGTGAGAACAATTAACCAGTGGAACGACTTGCTTCCAGAAGTTGCGGGTGCTCCATCACTGGAGATTTTGAAGAAGAGATTGGACAACCATTTGTCTGGAATGGTATAGGATCTCCTGCTTGAGCAAGGGGTTGGACTAGAAGACCTCCAAGATCCCTTCCGATTCTGTTATTCTGTTATCCTCCCAGATTTGCCTGTGGGAGGATGGGAGAACCTATTCTCCAAAGCACCAGAAGGCAGGTCGGATGGAAACGAATCAACCATGGCTTAGGACCTGGTTATTTACGGGACCGCCTGCTACCACCAATAGCCTCCCACCGGCCAGTACGCTCCCATAGAGAGGGGCTCCTCCGGGTGCCATCGGCCAAACAATGTCGGCTGTCGGCCCCTAGGGGGAGAGCCTTCTCTGTGGGGGCACCTACGATTTGGAACGAGCTCCCCCCGGAGATACGTAGGATCCCGGATCTGCGCACCTTCCGCCGCGCGCTTAAGACCTTTCTATTTTATCAAGCTGGCCTGGCCTAAATCTTCCCCCTTTTTAAATGTGGAAATTTTAAATTTTTAAATTTTAAATTCGTCTTTTTTATAGGGGTATGGGTAAGGCATTTTAAATTGGGGAGCCATTTTAGATTTAATTCTGTTTTAAACGTATTTTAATTGTTTATATTGTATGTTTTTAACTTTGGCTGTTCACCGCCCCGAGTCCTTCGGGAGAGGGGGTGGTATAAAAATCTAATAAATAAATAAATAAATAAATAAACCAGAGAACCAACCTAGAACTAAGGAAAACTGCTCTGAATTTGCATTGGTTGGACTAGAAGACCTTCTAAGTCCCTTCCAGTTCTGCTCTTCTGTTCCTCTCTTATTCTGAATATACAACGGCCACTTTGTTTCAGGATGTTCTCCAGATGTTCTCCAAACTCCAGAGAAGTTTGGAGTTTGTCAACATTTCCCAACGAAGGGCAAGGTTTGTGAGGGATTTTTGCCCCTTTCATGGAACCAGCTGACCGCTTCTTCTAACACCAGACAGAATGTTAAAGATCTATCTCATCCTGGACACCTTTTTTTTTTTTGAACTATTACCATCTGGCAGACGGTACAGGATAATAAAAACAAGGACAAATAGTGCTGAAAAACAGCTTCTATCCCAGGGCAGTAACCATATTGAATTCTACCGTATAGTGCAATATCGGGTTTTCAATTTCAATTATAGAGAATGCGAAGGATGTATGTTTGTGTTTTTATTTTTTATACTTATAATGTACACTGAAGACGGCATTTAATTTCGTTGTACCATGTGCAATGACAATAAACTAAACTAAACTAAGAGGGGACACGGTGGCTCAGTGGCTAAGACGTTGAGTTTGTCAATCGAAAGGTCGGCAGTTCAGCGGTTCGAATTCCTAGCGCCGCATAACGGGGTGAGCTCCCATGACTTGTCCCAGCTTCTACCAACCTAGCAGTTCGAAAACTCGTAAACAAATGCAAGTAGAAAAACAAGGACCACCTTTGGTGGGAAGGGAACAGCATTCTGTGCGCCTTTGGTGTTGAATCATGCCAGCCACACGACCACGGAGACGTCTTCGGACAGCGCTGGCTCTTCGGCTTTGAAACGGAGATGAGCACCATCCCCTAGAGTCGGGAACGACTAGCAAGTATGTGCGAGGGGAACCTTTACCTTAAACTAAACTAAACTAAACTACTAAGCTAAATGTACGTCCAGCGAAGTCTTCCAGAAGGTCCCGAGTGGAAAAGAACACAGCCTTGAAATAATCAAGGCTGCACTTGCTAAGCTCCAAACACATTCGTGACGCCAACAAGCTTTGCACCCGCTGTTGTTTGCAGACCGTTCCTGGTGACGTCGGTGGAAAGTCGTGCCAGCCATGACTTTGATCCGCTCTCTCCCTCCTCACCTGCTTAAGGTGGAGAACGCCACTGTTTCTGTTTGGTACCCACGTGCATGAATCAGCACAGCTTTTCCTGACCCTCGAGGGAGGAAAATGTCTCTAGGGGATGCTTGTGTAACAGGTTAGCCCTCTACGGTGCGTACATGCTGTGACCTGCCTGCTTGAAATACATGTTTGCTTATCAGGTTGTTCCATACAATAAGTTCCTCTTCTTTCTTTTGTTTTATTAATTTTTTTTTTTACAAACATATCTTTACTTTTACTTTATGGATTAGCCATATCAAAGTGCAAAGTTTATTTATTGGGCCATATCAAAGTGCAGACTTCCAGACGCAAATTATTACTAAAATCTGATTAAAAAAAAAAAACAATTTAAAACGGGAATTGGGATAAAATACGATTTACAATGAAACTGGAATAAAATATGATTTGAAATGAAATTTAAGTTTAAAATGATAAGCTTCGATTTGCCTACAGGCAGTGGTGGGATTCAACCGGTTCGCACCAGTTCGAGAGAACCGGTTGTTAACTTTGTGAGCAGTTTGGCAAACTGGTTGTTGGAAGAAATCATTAGGGCAGAGAACCGGTTGTTAAATTACTTGAATCCCACCACTGCCTACAGGCCATCTCAAAGCACAAGGTGCAAACACGTATCGCCCATAAAATCTTACACAAACAATTCAAAACAAGAGTAGGGCAGGTGAAATGCTCCCGGTTCGGACCGGATCAGGCGATCCGGTAGCGATTGTGGCAGGTGGTTCGGAGAACCGGTAGCGATGGTGGCGCAAGGCTCCGCCCACCCACTCACCCGGGTGTCGTTACTTCCTGGTTTTAACCAGGAAGTAATGTGTTTTTTACCCTCTGTGCATGCGCAGAAGATTTTGTGTGTGACATTCACGCGCGGGGCGTGTGCACTTCCGAACCGGTAAGGAAGGTGAGTAGATTTCACCCCTGGAGTAGGGTAAAATAGAGAAGCTACAATATGATTTAATAAATAAATATATAAAATAGAATAAAATGGCATCAAATTATATTTCGGTGGTCGCCCTTACAATCTACCCCAATCAGTCCCACGTATGCAGATCTCAACCGAATCATTTTGTTTAAGTACTGTGCTGTGTTAAATGTTATTTTCGGGTTCTGGCCACACATAAAGTAAGTTGTTTTGATGTGGGAATCCCAATGGGTCATTCGTTTGGTATATGGACCAAGGTACCTAAAGGGAACGCGGTGACTCAGTGGCTAAGATGCTGAGCTTGTCGATCGAAAGGTCGGCAGTTCGGCGGTTCAAATCCCTGGTGTCGCGTAATGGGGGTGAGCTCCCGTGACTTGTCCCAGCTTCTGCCAACCTAGCAGTTTGAAAGCACATAAAAAATGCGAGTAGAAAAATAGGAACCACCTTTGGTGGGAAGGGAACAGCGTTCCGTGTGCCTTTGGCATTGAGTCATACCAGTCCACACGACCACGGAGACGTCTTTGGACAACGCTGGCTCTTCGGCTTTGAAACGGAGATGAGCACCGCCCCCTAGAGTCGGGAACGACTAGCACATATGTGCGAGGGGAACCTTTAACTTTACCTGTCTCTCACTCCTTTATACAAGCAATAGTCAAATAGGATGTGAGCCAGGTCTTCTACCCCGCCCCTCCGCAAATGCAGAAACATACAAACATATCATTGTGCGAACAGTGTGGTGCCAGAGTGCCTTACATTTTAGTACAAATAAAACATAATTCTTCATATTTAATACAATTGACAATCTTATACAGTTGTATAGCACACATATTTTGTTGAATTATCATCTTTCGTTCTTTGATTATTTGACATTTCAGTATGTTATTTTTATACCAATCTACAAATTCTAAATGTCACTCCTCTTACTACAAATAAAATATGAATAATCATATTTGTTGTGTTTAACAAACTTACATAGTTCTAATAGTAACACACAGATTTATATTAAATTATAATCTTCCATTGTTTATCCCCTTTTTAATTTTTAGTTATGCCACTGTTATGTTTGAAAAAAATCCCCTTTCTAATCAAATAAAATAATATTCGTCATATTTATGTTTGACAAGTTATATTATAATAATAATAATACACATGTCTTTGTTAAATTATAATCTTTCATTATTATCTTGTTCAATATTTCCATATGTTGTTTTTATGTCAGTCAAATTCCACACATCGTTCCTTTTACTACAAATAGAATGTTAGTAATCGTATTTGTTATATTTAACAAACTTACATCGTTCTACTTGGGTGGGCTTCAAAATTTTTTAGCAAGGGGTCTCTGCCTGGTTGCCTGGCAGGCATGGCCATGGTGGGCGTGGCCTACTTGGCCTCCTGCACCATGGCAGGGGGGGAGCTTTTTGCTCTCCCCAGGCTCCAGAGGCTTTTCTTGAGCCTCTGGGATGGCGAAAATGGCCTTCGCAAGCTCCAGAGGCCCTCTGGAGGCTGGAAACGGGCCCGTTTCCAGCCTTCCCAAACTTCCGGTAGGCTCGTTTTTCGCCCTCCCTGAGCCTCCGCAGGTGCCCTGTACTTACCTGCATCCAAAACAGGCCATGTGAGGACTCCTGGGAGGGGAGGGGCAGGGTGGGCGGGGCCAACCAGGAGTGGGATTTTGGGGTTCTCCGAACTGCACAGAATCTTAATTAGAGGTTCTCCCGAACCCTGCGAATCCTTTGCAGCTCCCCCCCTGGTTCTACTAATAATACACATATTTATGTTAAGTTATAATCTTCGATTGTTGAAATTATTCAATATTTCCATATGTAAGTTCCCCTTGTTTCGTCGAGGACCTTTTGAGGGAAATTCCAGTTGCAAACAAGAAGATCTTTTCTCGGCTGATTTAATAGTCGGCAGAAAAAAGAGAATCTCGGAGCACTCGTGATAGACCAGGCTAAGGCCCTCAGCATCTACTCTGCGTTTTTATTCGCCGTTAAAATAGATATCTCTCGGGAGACACACCAACAAGACAGAAGCGCAACGGATTTCTCCGTTCCCCAGCAACCTGCTCGGCTTCCAAGATCTTGCTTGTTTACTCATTGACTGATGTGATGGATGTGGCTCCTCAGCTCGGGAACAAGAGATTCTGGCCAGCTAATATTAACATTAGAAACTTCAAAACAGGATAAAACAAAGACGCGCCACGATGTAGAACACAACGCAAACACTTCCAATCTGTAAAACCATTACAAAATGGATCTCTGGCCTGATGGAGATAACGCAGGTTTCTAGACCTCATGAAAATAGGTCACGGTGATTTTGAACGTTGGCGTCAGGGATATGCTGTTCCTAAGGGAAATAAAAGAAGTTGAGACTCTAGAAAGAGTGCAGAGAAGAGCAAACAAGATGATTAGGGGGCTGGAGGGTGAAATATATGATGAACAGATTGCATGGCTAGTCTTGCGAAGAGAAGGACCAGGGGAGACAGGGTAGCAGTCTTCCAATGTTTGAGGGGTTGCCACAGAGAGGAGGAAGGGGGTCAAGCTATTTTCCAAAGCACCCAAAGGCCAGACAAGGAATAATGGATGGAAACTGATCAAGGAGAGATTCAGCCTGGAAATAAGGAGAAATTTTTCTGACAGTGAGAACAATCAACCCATGGAATAGAAGTTGCCTTCAGAAGTTGTGGGAGCCTCATCACTGGAAGCTTTCAAGAAGAGACTGGACTGCCATCTGTCAGAAATGGTGTAGGGTGTCCTGCTTGGGTGTGGGGTTGGACTAGATGACCTACAAGATCCCTTCCAACTCTGTAAAGCTTCTGATAGAGAAGATCCCAAACTATAGTTGATAACTATAGATATTCCTGCCAAAAAAAATTAACTAATTTTAAAGCTGGTGGAGTTGGCCTATTTCCATCGTACTGCCAACATTTTCTTGAACTCCTTGGAAGCTTGTCTATCATAGTTTCAAAGTATTCCAGACTGTAGTTCCTTCTGCAGATGCAAAGGAAGAAAATGTAAGTAGACCAGAGTTTGAAGAAAGTTAGAGCTTTTTCTGCTTTCAAGGAGAGCGGGATTCAAAGCGATTTCTCCTACCCGAAGGAGAATGGTTTAAAAAAAAATCCGCAAAATATTTTTCCCCAATACAGTTTTGATACCACCAGGTTGCCAAGCATCCTCTCGCATGTGCCGTTGATGTTTTAGAAGACAATCCGTTGGATGTTGGTGATGAAAGAATAACAGAAGAGTTGGAAGGGACTTTGGAGGTCTTCTATTCCAACCCCCTGCTCAAGCAGGATATAACATTCCTGTCCAATCTCTTCTTAAAAACTTCCAGTGTTGGAGCATTCACAACTTCTGGAGGCAAGTTGTTCCACTGGTTAATTGTCCTCACTGCCAGGAAGTTTCTCCTTAGTTCTAAGTTGCTTCTCTCCTTGATTAGTTTCCACCCATTGCTTCTTGTCCTGCCTTCAGGTGCTTTGGAGAATGGGTTGACCTCCTCTTCTTTGTGGCAGCCCCTGAGATATTGGAAGACTGCTATCATAGGATAGTTTTCTACTTACCCGTTGGCAAAGCAATCCTTCCTCTCCAGGAATCCCCAGTGGACCAAGGTCGCCCTAGAAAAAGAGAAGAGCTTTTTGAAGTTAGCTTTCGAGACGTGTTAAGAAGAGGGAGGAACATTTATGAAGACCTGTTGTGGCCCACCAGTAGCTAGTAGAGCTGGTAGCCGATTTGGACAGTGAGAAGGTTGGGGAGGAACATGGGCCAGTCCTGGAGTCTGGGGAAGGCTCGGACAAGCCCCCTCCCTCCCGCTATGAATGCTCAGTTTGGAATAGGATCTGGGAAAGGAAGTTTCCAGACAGCAGTTGATTGGGAAGGAGCATCTCAAGCGAACTGAAATTTCAGAAGGTTCTTTCTCATTTGATAGCTCCTGCAAAATTCTTACATGGGGAAGGCTGTTGCGATTCGGAAAATTCCTGCTCAGGGATTCTTGTCTCTCTCCTTCACCTTTCGTTTGAAGTGTTATTAAAAATAGATTTGCCCTCTTGAGTTGTTCAGAAAGAGAGGCAGAGAGATACTATCTGTCAACTATTCAGTTGCGTAAGTGCCAGGCAACAAAAAATGTCTCTTGAGCAGCAAACACATTCCAGAAGGCGATGGTACATGCTAAGTGTGCGCTCAACAATTTTATGCGAGGCTTCTGACTCGCTGCCCAATGAATCACAGCGCCTTGTAAAAACCTAAGGTTTATATACAGGGGGGATGCGGTGGCTCAGTGGCTAAGACGCTGAGCTTGTCAATCGAAAGATCGGCAGTTCAGCGATTCTAATCCCTAGCGCCGCGTAACGGGGTGAGCTCCCGTGACTTGTTCCAGCTTCTGCCAACCTAGCAGTTCGAAAGCACGTTAAAAAAAAGTGCTCATCTCCGTTTCAAAGCTGAAGAGCCAGCGCTGTCCGAAGATGTCTCCGTGGTCATGTGGCCGGCATGACTCAATGCCAAAGGCGCACGGAACGCTGTTCCCTTCCCACCAAAGGTGGTCCCTATTTTTCTACTTGCATTTTTGACGTGCTTTCGAACTGCTAAATTGGCAGAAGTTGGGACAAGTAACGGGAGCTCACTCCATTACGCGGCGCTAGGGATTCGAACCGCTGAACTGCCGACCTTTCGATCGACAAGCTCAGCGTCTTAGCCACTGAGCCACCGCGTCCCTCTCAGAAGGACAGTAGGCCCTAAAATGCGACACGAACCAAAGTTTTAGATAGGAAGATTTCAAAGTGTCTCAGAGCTATTTGTAATCCTGCTGAGCCGTTGCTGCGAAATGGGATTTTTTGCAAAGTCCGTAGTTTTGAAATATATTTGGACGTAGAAGGACGAAAGCGCGAGAAATAAGGAACTGAAAGTCGCCGATGGATAGAGCTTTGAGACGTACGCGGGTATTTGTGGAAACTGTCTGTCGGTAAGAAAGAACAAGGAAGTCAGTTGTGAAATGCGTGCAGAAAAAGTATGAAAAGAATGTCTTGGAATGAGCTCAGGGCCACTGGCCATAGCTACTCCTTGCTGGACTCAGCTATGTCAATGGACCTCATTGCAATGGGTCATTGATATAAGTTGTGTTATGATGGCTGTACTTGCTCCAAATTGCTCATGAAATAATCTTAAAGTAAGAATTGTTTATTGTGCTACTGTCTCTTGTTTCTTTATTGGGATATTTTTATCCTTCCCTCCTTCCTAGACTTACTCCAGTGCCTTTTCTGTCCCAGAAAATCTTAGGGTCTCTTTTCTACGAATACCTCGGGGGGGGGGCTTTCAAATATGCTCTCGAATACTATTTCAGTATCCAGTCCTGTTGGCTTGACCGCTTGCCTGCTTGACCGGTTAATCTTCCTTAACCAGTTATTCCCCCCACTTCTCTCTTTGTTTTTGCTCCCTGATGTTAACTGATAACGTTCTTGTGTGCGTTTTGGTTGTGATTTACCCCAAAACAAATCACGCTGTGCGAAACGAGGTTGACTTACATTCTAGCACTCTGATCTCTGCTAAGGAAGAGTGTGATGGATTTTGCTGCGGCTGTTCCTGCCTCTCCCCTTCCCCCCACCCCAAAAAAAAGCTTATCTGTGTATCCTCCTCAGGGGTGGGCTTCAAAAATTTTAGCAAGGGGTTCTCTGCCTGGTTGCTGGGTGGGCGTGGTCTAGTCAGCCTCCTGCACCATGGTGGTGGTGGGGGGACGTTTTTGCCCTCCCCAGACTCCAGAGGCTTTTCTTGAGCTTCTGGGAGGGTGAAAATGGCCTCCCCAGGCTCCAGAGGCCCCTGTTTCTGGCCTTCCCGAACTTCCGGTAGGCCTATTTTTCAACCTCTCCGAGCCTCCGTGCATGCCTTGCACTTACCTGAATCCAAAACGGGCCGTGTGGGGACTCCTGGGAGGGGAGGGGTGGGCGGGGCCAGCCAGGAGTGGGATTTGGGGGTTCTCCGAACTGCACGGGATCTTAGCTAGAGGTTCTCCCGAACCCCTGCGAACCCCCAGCAGCCCCACTCCTGATCCTTCTCCCTCCTGATTTATTTTCACACAATTAAGATTGTACGCACAGTTGCTTGCTTACAAGGTGTGATGGGGGCGTGTGTATATATATATATATATATATATATATAGGTCTTTGGTTATTCGGGTCTTCTCCCACGTAAAATTGGAAGTGTCTTGGCGACGTTTCGACGAAGTCTCATTCGTCATCTTCAGGCTGGTGTTCTCGGCTTCGTGCTTCCAGGAGCAATATATATATATATATCGGCCAACCCCACCAGACCAAGTGGACCTTGGACCAAGGCTGAATGGCATAATAAAGTCCCAGCCCAACCTTGGATGTCCCCATCCATCTTGGATGGAGAAGCCAAGAGAATCCCAAGAAAAATCACATCCCAGAGTAGAATCTGGCGGTTCCTGAGTCCTCCACAAACCCCCTTTTCTTGTCTGTGATGGTTTCTCCTTGTTTGCTCTTTTATCAGCGTTCGTGTATACCAATCAACCCCAACCTATGACTTTCAGATGACTTGGACTACAACTCCCATTACTCCAGACAGCTAGTAGGCTTGAACCATGTCTGTAAACAACAGGGCAGTGCAGATCTGATTTCAAACCATCGCTCTGGAGTGTCCAGAAGCACGAATGCAGCTCTTTAAAGCAGCCACGTCTTTCCTAGGATTGGGAATGTGGCCTCTTGTAATTGACCGATAGAAATTTGGTCAATGCCCAGATTTTCTAAGTACTACCGTCTGAGATTTTTGGGCAGTAAACGATCCCCAGTGTGCCGATAATCGCTGGGACCACCATGGCTGATTCATGCCATCGTCTTTCGCCTTCGATTTTCAGATTATTATTTTTATTATGGTTTGTTTGCACAGTCAGACAGACGTCCGACCAGAAGTTGGTTTCAGCAGGTTATGACCAAGTTCTGGAGACCGGTAGCAGAAATTTTGAGTAGTTCGGAGAACCGGCTCCACCCCCATCTTTTCTCTGTCTCCCAAGTCCCAGCTGATCAGGAGGAAATGGGGATTTTGCAGTAACCTTCCCTTGGATTGCGGAGGGAATGGAGATTCTACTGTATCCTTACTCTGCCATGCCCACCAAGCCATGCCATGCCACGCCCACCATGCCACACCCACAGAACCGGTAGTAAAAATTCTGACTGGCTCCGCCTCCATCTATTCTCTGTCTCCCGAGTCCCAGCTGATCGGGAGGGAATGGGGATTTTGCAGTAACCTTCCCCTGGATTGCGGAGGGAATGGAGATTCCACTGTATCCTTACTCTGCCACGCCCACTAAGCCACACCCACCAAGCCATGCCACGCCCACCAAGCCACACCCACAGAACCAGTAGTAGCGACCTGAGATGGGCCCGTCCCTCACATCTGAGTGCAATCCCGTCCTATATCGCTGTGTTTTTGATGCTGTACACGTGTGGATGGCGCGCACAAGCGAATTGCCGTGTTTTGTGATGCCGCACGCGGATGGCAGGCGCGCACATTTCCAGTGCTGGGAAAACCAGTGGTAACAGTATGAGAAGCTCACTGGATTTGGCATTTTTTTTTTAAAAAAAAATTGATTTATATGCCGCCCTTCTCCGGAGACTCAGGGCGCCTTACAATGCGCTAAGCAATCCAACTATCGAGTCCCTTCCAAAGAACTGAGGTAGTCAGATATTGATTTTTTTTCCCCCGTAGATATTACAAAACTGAGTAAATTAACAAGGAGGGGTTGGGGTTTATTTTTTTGGGTTATGCGATTTTGCTAGAGCAAAATCTTGCTACGGCTTTTACACGCAGCTGTGCCTCTCTCACATAATTGAAACAGACATTTCTGGATTCACGAGGCTATTTCCGTGAACTGCCTTCACTTCTCATACCCAGGCCTGGTGGTTTCTTTTTTTTTTAAGGCAGGCGAGGCTAAAATTAGCAGCTTTCATAATCAATAGTTAATGATTTAAGATGCTTTCTCTGACTCCAGGCACTCTGCTTCTATTTTGGAAGCTACTGCCGTGGGTGCTTCGGTTATCCTGTATCCTCCACAAACCATCCATCAGAATAGAGTTCGGAAGGGACCTTGGAGGTCTTCTAGTCCAACCCCAAACTTTCCCAATGGTGACACCGTTTCGCTCCCCTTGAGAGCGAGTTTCAACCTTTCAGAAAAGTCTCCCCGGGGATGATGAAACCATTTCCAAAGGAAGTCAAAGGACCAATCAATCAGAATAGAGCCGGAAGTGACCTCGGAGGTCTTTAGTCTAATCTCTTTTCAAGCAGGAGTCCCTACACCATTTCAGACAAGTGGCTGTCCTGTCTCTTCTTAAAAGTCTCCAGTGATGGAGCACCTCATAATTTAGATAGATAGATGATAGATAGATAGATAGATAGATAGATAGATAGATAGATAGATAGATAAATAGAGAGATAGAGAGAGGGGGAGATATAGATAGCTAGATATAGAGGTAGAGAGATAGATAAATAGATAGATAGATAGATAGATAGATAGATAGATAGATAGATAGATAGATAGATAGATGATAGATAGATAGATAGATAGATAGATAGATAGTGATAGATGATAGATGATAGATGATAGATGATAGAT